TTTCTCAACTAAATCATAAGGATTCAATCACATCATACGGAAAAAAAAATCACGGCTAGAGATTATAGCCGTGTGCAATTCGCACGAATTGCAACTAGATAAGTTAAACAACGCAAAAATCAATGCAAATTTGAAAACATTAATGAAATATACAAAAAGTTGTTCAGTTACAATATAAAATGCAAAACAGAAAAATGTAACAAATTTCTCAAGTCAATTTTGCCTGAATATAGTTGAGATAACATTTCTTTTTTCATCTAACTTCTTTTTTTTCTAATATTCTTAATATCCTTTGTTTTAATTCAACTTTGTTTTTAATTAAAATCCTCTCTTTTATATTTCTTTTCGATACTTACCATTTTCTTCAATAGTTTTTTAATACATTTTAACTAATTTTTTCCTCTAATTTCTTTAAGTAATTTTTCTTAATTCATTTTTCCTTACTAGACTTCTCTCTCAACCACATCGATCAGAAAAAACTTTAGCTTATAGTTAGGAAATGAACACAATGAGAAAAAATACAAATTGAAAACAACAACAATAAAATATACAGTTCACTAGTACAATATACAATGCAAAGCACAAAAATGTGACAAAAAAAATCAAATTTTTGAAATAAATTCTGTTTAGTATAGTTGAGAGTAAGTAACATCCCTACTTCTTTCTTTAGCCCTTTTTTCAAATTCTTTTTTACAACATTCTATTTTAATTCAATTATCTTTTCAAATAACTCCTTTTATCTACTTCTTTTCTACTTTTCGTCCACTTCCTTTCACCTCTTTAGAATATTTTTCCATTACTTTTTCTGTCTATTAAGACAGTCTATAATTTCCTTTTTCATTCTGCTATCCTAATGGACTCAACTACACCAAACCAGAAAACCAAAGACTACAGTTGTGCAATTAAGATTTGCAAGTAGAGAACGAAACAACAAAAAAAAACAATAAGGTTTAAAAAAGCCGATAGTTACAATATAAAATACAAAGCACAACAAAGCAACGAAAGATTTAAGTTTTCAATACCAATTCCGTTTGATTTAGTTGAAAGTAGTACATTATTCTTTTTTCCCTTAGCTTCTTTTCCTTTCTTTTTTGAATCATTCTTTTTAATAATTTTCATTTTCTCTTTCCCTTTTTTTCTTATTCAATTTTACCTTCTTTATTTTCTATTATTTCTACCTTTCCATACTTTTCTAATATCTATTCTATCTTTTTAATGCACTTCTACTACTTTTTTCTTTCAATATTTTATGAATTCCTTTTTATTCTATTCTACTTGTGTATTACTCAGCAACATCAAACAGAAGAAACTTAAGAGTTACAGTTACAACTCGGAGAAACTGCAATTAGAGAAACGAGACGAGAAGGGAAAAAAGAGGACGCGAAGTTAGCAAAAAAAAGATATACAAAAAAAAGCTGCAAAAACAATGTAAAAAACTATGTACACACACAATGCCTTTTAACTATAAACCAATTCCATCTTGAAATATTCAACATTAGAATTCTTGCGTCTAAAATCGGTAAACAGAAATTAACCACAACCTTTGTTAAAAACCCTTCTCTGACTGTTCTTTAAAGCAAATTCAAAATAGAACATTTACAAGAAAATCTCGAAAACGAAACCGTTAAAATATACTGTTTGAAGATGACGAACTGACATTGAACCCACACGAAGAAACTTCGTAGATGTCTGTCGGATTACGTAATGTCTGTTTGTACAACTGTCGTCCTTTCTGCCGCAGTAGGGATGGAGATAATGAAGCGGAGAATTATAAAACAACAAATAAGGGAGGGACTGGCAGGGCAGAGCAAATTTCGCCAGTCCCAATGCATTCAAAGCAATTTTCTCCCCCAAATACGCCTTCTGCACCATATATTCATTGGTTAACGCATTAGAAATGACGTCATTGCCAATTTTTGCACTTTTTTGCCAATATGCAAATTTTGTATTGCTAATATTTGATCTGTGTAACACGTATTTCTTATGAATCTTACAAGGGAGCGCACATCATAAAGATATTTTTTTATAGTTTCCAACAACACATTTTTTCGTATTATTGAATACATTTATTATTACATAATAATCATAGAATGATATCCAATGTGCGCACTCTTTTTGAAGTGAGAACTTCACTGAAATCATTTCAGCATGTCAGATACATGTCAGATAGCCAATTGTGAAGTGTGAAAAACCATCGCAGACTGATGACGGTAGTAATTGCTCTGCAGGTCATGAAGTCGAACACGCCATCATAATTTTCTACGAACGTTGGATTCGTCATCGGTCTAATACTTTATTAGTAATCAATAAGTTGAAAAAGCTCTAATTTTAAGTTACAAACAATATCAGTACTACAGGATATGATCAAAACCTCGAAAAATAACAATAGATACAGTTTAAAAAATGTAGTCACTACAGATCAGTGCAAAACAAAAATACAAATCTTAATCACATTTTATAATTTAATTGTGATCAGTTTTTTCGTTTTGTAGATGCTTGCAAAGTGAAGAATATCGCTTGACAATATGCGAATACAAAAAAATAAATTTTTCTTCGTCGTGCTAAATTGTTTTTTTATTCTTTCTTACTAATTGTCTGCTACTTTGTTGAATAGCGAATAGTTGGAAAAAAATCAATAGGTAAATTTTGAGGTTTGAAATCGAAAAATTACCAAACTATTAGTTGTATTTTCATGAACAAAAAGGCTGTGAATTATAAACAATTAAATACACTTTTGTATTTTGTATTGTAGGAAGTCAAGACTTGTAACTCATCCATCCTGTTCGAAGATTCGTATGGCACTGAAGGGACTGGTACCGTAATTATTAATCCGATGTAATATTCACTTTTTGATTGTGATTAAACGCAAACAGAAAATAATTTTTATGTCCAAAACACAGGAGAAAAAATGAAGTTGATAAATAAGTTAAATCCACACAAACAATACGACAAAAATAAAATGCTATTCTTTAAGCACACACAGTGAAAGGATTAAAGGATTGATTCAGGATTTCTGAGAGCAAATAGTCTCGAGGAAAGCTTTGAGTTGAATAAACTCATAAATTTGACTGATATTGTTTTCATTCTCTAATGTAGAGAGAAATTGTCACTTCTGAAAACAATCATTCGTTGCAAAATATCTCAAATATTTCCTTTAAAGATTTTGACTTGTTGAAAAATGATATGACGAGACTGAACTAAACCCAATCTGTGCTTTCAAGCAGACACTACTCAGTCATTTTTGATTGAAATAAAGATGACTAGTTTTAGTATATCTCTCTTTGATTGATGCTATAGTATCCTTACCTGTGTTCCTACCGATTATTTGATCTGTGTACCAATGTACCGATCGATCAATCAATCAATTTGCCTATCTATGTATATAGCTAGCTAGCTATCTATTTCCTACGCACCTATCAATGACATGTTGGAATGCGTAGGAACTACGTTTACCGAAAAAACCGTGCTTCTACTGGATGAGAAGATAATTTAAGTTGAAAATTCTACCAAAACTTTACTGAATTTATGGCAGTGACACACGATTTCGTTGGCATAATAATGATCATCAGTTGTTGAATTTCTATCTGAAATGCAGAAGTGCTCTCTACTACCACTTCAAGATAATTTATTGCTTTTAGTACTTGAAGACAATTCAATAAGTGTATGTGTATGTGAATGTTCCAATATTTAATAATGTGTCTCAAATAATAAAAATCTACGGCATAATAATATAAGCATAAGATATTTTTAAACCTGTAATTTCATTGAATCTTTGTGCTTATATCGCCGCAACAAATTGCTAGAAGCAAATGAATATTTTCGCATTACAGAAAATGTTGAGATGGACTTTTATGTATGCATCATGTGTATGTGCATGATTTTGTGTGTGTGTGTGTGTGTGTATGTGTGTGAGTATGTGCTCTCATAAACTTCTATAATCAATTACATGCAACAGATGAACGCAGTTTGAATTATTTCTAACTGTCTTCATCAACCTTAATTGCCGGTTCAAAACACATGCCAAGGAAGAGCATCAAACTTATCCTAGAGATTGTGCAAAGTATACTCTTCTGGTAAGGTAGATCTATTATAATCAAGATTCTCAAGCCCGCTTCGCTCCAGTACTCATTCATTTATCAAATTGAATGTAAAATAATTTTCTTATTCTGCAGTAAATCTTTTTAAGTTAATTTCGTTAATGACTGTGCCGTTTTTACATCATTTTAGTTTAAATTATTTGTTTGTCAAATTTTTGTAATGCATTGTGTTCCTGTAATTAATACTTGTAAGTAAAGTTATTTTTGATAATCTCAATTGTATTTGCTACTTGCACTTAACTTAGCAGCGATTTTCAAATGGGTACAGACGCATACACTTGCACAGATACAGACACATACACACAAATGTTGCAAATTTCTGTTTTTCAAATTATGCGGAGGATTGATATGATGTATTCAGCCTTGAGCACATTAACTTGCTGACAAGAAAGTAACACTGCATTCCATGTGTTTGACAACATGAAAGTGAAAATGAAGCAATGTGTTGAAAATAGCTGAACTAAAATGTGCCTGTCGACCTTGCACTAATTTATAGTAAAGTAGATAATTTATAATTGTATATCTTTTCTTTCTCAATAAATTTTAATTCCTGCATTAAGCAGCAGTAGAAAAATATAGTCGTGTTACACGACTAAAGTTCACGAAACTTTGTTGGGAATAAAAATGTTATTCTAATTTGAGGTATTTTCTTGGCAGTATTGATAAAACGCAAGTAAGAAAAAGTGCAATAAGCATTTTATTTGGTATTACATTTTGTTGCTAAGTAGAAATATAAGTAAAAGTAATTAGCAGTGAACAATAATTATTACACAAATATAAACTAGTAATTATTGTAAAAATAATAGCAAAAAAATAGAGATTAAAGATTTGTAGAACTATTAGTAAGAACAGAAATTTATAAGCTGTAATAAATTGTAGTTGGCAGTAAATAATAATTGTATTAGTAGCAAAAAGTAACTGTTAGTAGTGATAGTTTGGATAAAGATTAAAGCAAATGGCTGTAATGATAATAGTTAAAACAGTGGTAATTATTCTTAGAAGTCAGTGATAGCAGTGAAAAATAGTTAATGGGTGGTATTATTATAATTGTCTTAAAAATAGTAGTAAGTATCAGTAAGAAGTAAGAAAAAGTGCATTTAAATAAATACGATATCATCATAAACAAACTATAACGAATGCATTATTAATTCATGAGCATGGTATAGTACTGGTAGGTAATAGATAATTAGTAGCAGTATAAGTATTAGTGAAAAGTTATGGATAAGTTATTGGTAGTTAAAAATAATAGCTAGTAGTAATAAGTCCTGATTGATAGTAGATATTAGTACCACTAAGTGGAATTATTCTTTAAATTTTTAAATAGTAAAGTCAATCTAATACAACCTCTCAAAGTTTTTAACAAAAAAACTGGTAAAAGAATGAAGAAAATTTTTGCTCTCAGTTGAAACTAGAAGCGAAAGTCATATTCGAAATCTGCTTAGAAAAAGG